GGTGGGTGGATCACCTAACGTCAGGAGTTCGAGACCAGCCTGGCAAAAGGGGGAAACCCTGTCCCTATGAAAAAAAACAAAAAATTAGCCGGGCGTGGTGGCAGGCACCTTTAATCCCAGCTCCTCCGGAGACTGAGGCAGGAGAATCGCTAGAACCTGGGAGGTGGAGGTTGCAGTGATCCACGACCATGCCACTGCACTCCAGCCTGGGCAAGAGAGTTCTCCCATAGTGCTGGGATTACAGGCATGAGCCAGCGCACCCAGACTGTTTTCTTTCTTTTAAAACAATAATAACGAGGTAAAATATTTGAGTGAAAAACAAATAACACAGAAGGACAACTCTTGGAGGAAAAAATCTGACGTTTACCAACAGTTTTGGGGAGGTGACACATCAACACCTAAATGATGCAGTCCATCACGTGAATCTGTAGCGTGTCTATGTCGGGCAGAACCTCTCCACACTTGGGGCAGGAATGAATCGGAATATTCCGCTGTTGCTGCCAGTCCCTGTCCTCAGCTCCTGGGAGTAAGTAGGACATGAAATATCATTCCATTAGTTCCATTTTGCAGGCAGTTTTGTTTGTTTCACTTGAAGAACAGATGGTGAGTTTTAACATCAGTTCAACTTTGTATTCAATATGTAGTGGGACATGAGCCCAGGTGTTTGGTCTTTAACTGAAGTCATCATGATGCATATAGAGAAAAATCTCTCCAAATGATACCTGCTTCCCTATTATTTTAGTTTTTTTTTTTTTTTCTTCGAGACAAGAGTCTCGCTGTCATCCAGGCTGGAGTGCAGTGGCACGATCTTGGCTCACTGCAACCTTCGCCTCCCGGGTTCAAGTGATCCTCCTGCCTTGGCCTCCTGAGTAGCCTGGATTACAGGTGTGCGCCACCACGCCCAGCTAATTTTTGTATTTTTAGTAGAGACAGGGTTTTGCCATGTTGGCCAGACTGGTCTTGAACTCCTGACCTCATGATCCGCCCACCTCGGCCTCCCAAAGTGCTGGGATTACTGGCGTGAGCCACCGTGCCTGGCCTGTTTTAGGATTTTTTTTCTTTTCTTTTCTTTTTTTTTTTCTTGACAGATGGAGTCTCACTCTGACTCCCAGGCTACAGTGCAGTGGCACAATCATAGCTCACTGCAACCTCTAACTCCTGGGATCCAGTGACCCTCCTGCCTCAGCTTCCTGAATAGCTGGGACTATAGGCACATGCCACCACAGCAGGCTAGTTTTTAAAATTTTTGTAGGGATGGGATCTCACTATGTTGCCCAGGCTGGTTCTGAACTCCTGGCCTCAACTGATCCTACCATCTCAGTCTCCCATGTACCGGGATTACAGGTGTATTGGTGCATTCTCTTAGGATTTAAACTGTATTCCAGTTTCAAGGTATGTGAAAATACACGGTTTCAGTTCTAGGTACAGGACAATGCATGTTCTAGTAAATACTAGGATATCTGAGAGAAGTAAAGGGATAAATGAGGATATAAGCAAAAGAGGGAGGGAATGTGGAGACCTCTAGGAGAGGTCTCCTAGAACAGAGTGTACCTTCCCAGAAGCAGAGGCAATCATCTCATTTGTTCAGCAGACACTTTTGAGTCCTCTGGGATGTATAGAGACACTGCCATGTGCTGGGAGACAGACGTGGTGGAGAAGCCGGGCAGGAGATGTGGCAGCAGTGGCGCGGCAAGGTGTTAGGCACGAGTGTTAGCCAGGTGAGTGTTAGGTGCAAGGGCGTCCATGGGAGAAAGGGAAGGGCCCCTAGTTTAGATCTTGGTGCAGAAAGTCCTCCTAGATGAGACCGATTAACTTGAGAGGGGCCTTGAGAATGAACAGGAGTTATCTACGTAAAGTTAACAAGGAGGAATGATGGAACAACGCACCCTGTCATTTCCCCAAGTTTTGGAGTAGTACTGAGGTTCAAGCCTCAATCAGAGCATGTCTGAAATAAGCCCTGACTCTAGCTAGGTCCTGGTTCCATACAAACTGCAGGAAATTATTTCTGGTTCCCAGGCATCTCTCTGTTCTGATCTTTCTGGACCAACGCAAACCATCTTGGTTTTTTGGTCTCAGCCTAGACTTTGATTTGGCCCTCAAAATGTTTGTTTTTGGAGGCAACCTTTATTTGCTTCTAAGTACATTACTTGGATGTAGTAACATGTATGAATATTTGAGATTGTGTTCAGCAGCCTTAAGAAGCATTTCTGAAGTTGTATGTATTAATCATAAAGCATGATTTCTAAAGCAAGGAGCTTTCTAATCACCCCACTGCCAGACAAGAGGGGTCAGGATCCAGGGCTGCCTCTGCTGTCTGACTCCCAGCATAAGCAGAGCCTCTTGCACATCCTGAAGGACTCAAAAGTATCTGCTGAATAAATGAAACCATTGCCTCTGCTTCTGAGAAGGTACATTCTGTTCTGGGAGACCTCTCTGGGGTGGGTGGATCACCTAACGTCAGGAGTTCGAGACCAGCCTGGC